CAGTTTTTTCTAGATTTTCATCAGGTACACAGCCATATGTTTCAGGGGAGTGCACCTTTCAGAAAGAGCAGTTAGTTTCTCCTGAATGCTCATGTATAAAAAGCTTAGATAGCTATCCCCACCCCTGCCCCAAACAGTAGCAAAGTTTAAATTACCTTCTTGTCATGACTCCACAAACATGCCAGCCGGGACCTGTGGCCACCTGATCTTTCACAGAATGGCCTGTGTTTGCAAGATGGGCAATAAGTGTTTGATTTGGGGCAAAAATATTAGTCAAATCATTTGTTTCACTGAGTTAATGAATCAGTTCAGGTAAAGCAGGAGAGCCAGGAGCCCAGAGTTGGCAAAGATGCATGTCCTTGAATGATCTTTCTGCCCAGCTCATGGAAGGCTTGGATCCTCTGAGGAGCTGTGGCTAGAACAGCTCATGCTGCAAGCGATGCTGCTGCTCGGAAGATTGTTCTGGGGCATCTGAGACACACCTCCTTCCTGAAGCCAGCCACAAGCCATGTTCACTTTAAGAAACTTAAGAGTTGGAAAGTGAAATCAGAGACATGAACTTTCTGTCACCTGTGTCCTTATATGTAATATGGGGACAATTTTTTATTATTGTGCTAAGAATGTAGTCTCAACATTCTTTTTTTTTAAATATTTAATAACCACATGATTAGAAGAAGCATTTCAGTACAGCTTTAACATATTCAATACCAATTTCCAGAGCAAGGATACATCTCTTTCAAAAGTGGCTGTAAATTTTTAGGTTCACAGTTGAATTAATACAGTTATAAAATATTGAACTCAGTATAAACCCTATAAGAGATAAAGTTGAATGAGATTTTAACCTTCAAAAAAGATCTCCATTTCATTTTAAAATATACTGTTTCCTACAGAAAGACAGAAAGACTCATTTTTAATGCTGCTAACACTTAAATGTTTGCACATGTGTCTCTAATCTCTATGTATCTGATTATTACTAGTCACAGTCAGTTACACTCAGATTCTTGGCACCTGAGTATGCATGGTCCTTTAAAAATCCCTTCCGGAGATGAAGATTCAGTAAAGGGGTATCGAGAAAGAAGGGAACTTTGGTGATGTGTACCTACTGTGGGTCATGCATTGTTGCATGCCCTAGCTTATTTAATTTTTGTATGAGGGTTAGGGTACTAGTGAATGTGTGGGCAGGGGTAGAGGTTGTGCATAACACCCCAATGAAGCAAGGGAATATTAGAATCCAAGTTTATGCCCCACATGCTGCAAACCAGCCTGAAGGAGGCGACATCTTTTTGTAATTTGCATAAAGACTTTTTATTTCTTTGATTTCTTCCAAAGTAGGCCTTGCATGCATGCAGTTTGTGAGGAGGCAAGTATCGAAAGAGCAGTAGGAGGAGTCCAGAAAGGACAGAAAGGGAAGAAGTAGGTGAACATTCAGGCCATGAACAAGCAAAGTGGCCGTGGACAAGGCTTGTGGAACACATCCCAGAACTGTCCTGATGGGGGCCAAAGGACCTGGGAGCTCTCCTTTTCCATCCCCCATCCCATGAGCTAAGGGTTACTTCAGAGCATTAATGCCCAGGCACAGGGGTGGATCAGAGCTCTGGCACTGGAGACCAATGGCAGGGAATAATCTGAGTTGGGGATTCCCTGTAGGTGATCTCAGGAGGGCCAAGAGTCATGGTGGATCTGCCAGGAAGAATACTCAGAGAAGTGGATGTCTGTGTGCAGATGTATTTTAATTCAATGACATCATTGAACTGCTTCGTTTTCAGCAGGTAACTGTAAAAATGTCAGTTGTCTTGATTTTGGAAGGAGGGTATATGAAAAAAGATGAATTACAGATGGTTGGAGGTCCTGTCACATTCCAGATGGCAGTCACCATTTACCGTTATGTACATGGATCCTCAGGAATGAATAATTCCATTTTAAAATATAAATTGTCTAAACTGATATCAGGAAAATCAGCATCCCTTCTTGGGGTTTTTAGTCTCATTAACAAAATAATTTAATAATGGACTCGAATAGACTATTTTATTAGAGTTCCAAAGAAAATACCACAGGGTAGATGCTCTGTAAATTTTGGCAGTTGCCCAGAGGAGGAGAACAGGAGGGAGGGCAAAAAGCCATGGCCTTTGAGGTACTGGCACGACGGTCCTCCTCATGGTGACAGGCATATGGCAGGAGGAGAGCTTTAGAGGAAAAAGTAAGGAAGCCCAAAGTATCATAAAACCATGCTTAATTTCTATCCAGCATCTGAAAGAAAGAGACCGAAAAAAGAAGGAAAAACTGTACCTTTCTGAGAAAAAGTGGGAAGACTCAAGTTACAAATGGAGACCTCATGGTAGCTTGCAGGAACTACACTCAGGGCAGGGATTCTGGAGAGGAAAGGTACAGTATCTCTTTAAAGGAGTCATTATTCCATGCTAAAGCATGACCTAAGACGAACCCCCTTTCCTAGGGGTAGTCATGCCATCCTAAGGGGTGTTCTCTTATTCAGGTGATTCATTTGGCCCAATTGGATAGGTCTCCACCTAAACCAGAGACTCTATTCTCTTGACTAGAAGGAGTTACATAGATTTAGTATGTATCCTATTTTGTGTGCATGTGTATGAATATATATATATATATGTGTGTGTGTGTGTCTGTGCTTATGTATATTCGTTGAACTGTATGTGAATGTATTTATAGGTATATGTGTATATGTGCATGCTCAATGTATGTGTATTTAGATGTTGTGTGTGCATGGTGTATATATGTGTGTGTCATATGCATGTATATATGTTTGTGCATGGGTGTGGGGGCTTGTGTAACTGATACATGGACATTTACCCACCAGCACTGCATGAACTGCCTGTTCTGTCAACTCTCTGCAGTCCCTATGCCCTGTTTAGACTCTGAGATGAAGGCTTCACGAGTACTTCCTAGGTAGGAGGAGTTCTCAGTCTTTTCCTGTCCAGTCCCTTGGCCTGCTACATGGGGACTTAGAAGCTACCACCTTGATATTTGTTGTTCTATATATAATATGCCTTATTTATGTTCAAAGAAAGAAAAAAGAAATTGATTTCAATTTTAGCCAGGCATTATGTAAGTGCATCATTGGTAAAAATCAAGAATTATAAGTATTTAAGTGGAAGACTATCATGATTAATTAAATCCATTGTCCCATCTGAAACGTGAAGATACCCTGACCTGGGGGACAGAAGTGGCTTTCAAGGCCACCCGGATTCTGGTCTCTGTCTTCTGGGTCTTCTGGACCACAATGCTTCTGTTTTCTCACAGGTCTAGCAAGCACTCCCCATGAGAGCTTGGCAAGATCATATCATACACTGGTTAATATCTATGTTCTTCTCATTGGGTCCCACCCCTCTTTGCCTGACTTGTGACCAAGAAGCTGACTTCTGGGAGCTTCTTCCCTTCCCCGTTGCTTTCAGCTAATGGCAGACAAGGACTAGGGTATTTGTGACCCACATTCCTTCAGGTGGGGTTTGGGTTTGACAGCACTCAGACTCTTTTGGAATGACCTGTGGTCAATAGTCAGAGGCCTCCTAGTACAGCTGAGGTTCCTTTGCAATGCCGGCATGAAAGTGTAGACAAGGATAGCTGAGTGCCTCCTCACTGCTAGTCCTAGGTGGCTCACGCTCTGTTCATTTCCTTTACCCTCTAGATGCAAGCTCTCCCCTAAGGTCATTTACACTACCCCAGAGCACTTCCTTCCAAAACAAAGCTGTACTGAGGCTTTTCACTTTGGAAATGAGGAATTAAAAACTGATCTTCTCAGGATTTGGATATAGGTCCAAATAATACAGTATATGCAAATGTGCTATATCTGACCCAGCGGAAGGTTTTATTTCATTTGCTTTTGTGAGGGAGGATCCTTCCCTAGTGCTTGGATTACAGACACATGGCACCAACCCCTGCTGAAAATTTGTTTTAATCAGTCATCATATCAGGGTTGAGTTGTCATGGAGACATATTACAAAGGTACCCAGTCCTCCTCCTTTACCTCCAAGGTAAGCCAGTTTGATAATATATGAAAGTCAGAGTTTTGCAGTTTTCATTTTGAAAGTAGTGAAACTGCAAACAGGTCCCTTGGTCTAGATGCTGAACAGTGAGGCCTCAGACATCCCAGATTCCCACCTCAGGCAGCTTTAGCATTGATTTGCAAAGGGTGTTCTGCCTCCCATTTTCTACCCATTACTTGAAAGCCAAACCAGAGTGACTCACTGGCCGCCTAATGTAGCAAAGAAGGGAAATAATTTCTCAGCAGGCAGGGTGGGTATCCCAATCACACTCCACTTAGAGTTTTGAGCACCAAGAAAAATGCAATGAAAGTGGCTGCTATGAGCAGCCCACTGTGCCCATCTGTACTTTCTCAACCCTGATACTTAGTCTTCCTGACATGCCGCTAAAGAACATCTCTTGTCTTTTTAGGTAAGCATATTAAACTCTAAAGTTCCACTAAGGTTTCTGGGTGCCTACGCATGCAGGTACTCAGACGTAGGGGGACAAATACAAATACGATCAAGACCAACCAGAAAGGTCATTTTCTTTGTGCCAACAAATTCCAGTGTGATTAACTGAAATCACCTGGTTAATTAAGATTAAGCCTTCCAAACAGCCTGCTAATCACAGGGGTCTCCTTCTAGCTTGGCTGTAGCTATGCTTTATTAATGGATAGGAGTATAAATTTTGGAGCCAGTCTGCCCTGTGTTCAGAATTCAGTTTTAGCAGCCATATGCTTTGTGACATTGAGGAGGCAGCTACCTCTGGGCCCAGTGGTATACCGGAGCAGGCTTGAGAAATATGCTTGTGTGCATTCCCTGAGCTCTGTCCAGACTTCACATTGGTAGCTTAAAGTCTCCTAGACATAGTTGAAGTTTTACTTCTGCAAAGTTAGTCATGGGGGCTGTTTCATGATTTTTCCTAGGGAGAAGTGAGAAAATATCTATTCACTCCAGACAAGGCACTGATGACAGACCAAAGAAACAACTCTACTCCGCTGTAGCTTGGTGAGCCAATGAGTTTATTGGGATTACGTACAGGAACACAGGCAACTCAAAGACAGCCAGCTGTTTCATGCAAAAGCCCACCCAAGCATGAGCGAGTTCTCCTGAGAGCTGCGTCCCTGGATGTCCTGCACGCTGTGCAGGCCGTCATGAATTTCCTCTCTGCAGCACCAGTTTCACTGCTTCTGTTGGGGAAGGTCCTTGGGAGTCCTGTAGCCATCTGAGCTTCTTGAGCCTTGTACAGATCCTTAGCCCAAGTCATGTGAGCCTCCTTCGTCCTGCCAGAAAAATAGCTGTAACAGATTTGCTCTTGTGACTATGTAATTGTCAGTAGAGTTTCTTCTAGAGATCCCTTTGGCTTTTCATAAGAACCAGGTATACCAGACAGACATTGAAGATTGTTCTGGCCAAGAGGGAAGATGCTTCCTCTAATATCCAAACTCCTCTAAAACTCAGTTTTGTAAAAATACAGTAAAATGTAAAAGTGGTTCTTTTGTGGGAGTGAATCAGCTTCCTCTGGGGAAGTGTTACAGCTTCCCAGGAATCAGCAGTAATTATCATGGGAAGGATAACCCTGTTGAACCAGGGTGGCCATCATACTGCTTAGGGAGGAAATAACGTGTTGATGAAATGCTGACCCGAAGCACCGCCAGCACAGGTGTCCAGCCACTTCATTCCTGAGAGACTGGGGTTGAGTTTCTAGGGTTGCTCTAGAGGGTTCAGGACACGTTTCAGGGTAATAGGAAGGGACATGGGGTGAGGAAAAGGTTCCTACCACATTACTGAGAGACACATGATAGCTTAACAGGGAACCAAGAGTCAGGTTTAATATTGTTGCTGCTCCACACTTAATAATTGAGGTCAATGGTTTATCAGGTCCTCCCAGAGGGCCACAGAAAGGACAAGCTTCTGAGAGCAGGAAAGGCTGAGCTGCAGGGAACAGCGTTCACAGCAGCGACTCTGCTTGCCAGTGTCCGCAGGAGCCATTCCGAACAGCTCTAACCCAGACTTTTCTCTGTGCTGGAAGTCCTGATTGCATAGGTCTTGAAGAACCTTTGAAAATGCCTACTCTCCCACCCAGTAACAGCAGTCTCCTGGAAGACAAGGATTACATTAGCACAGATGCTCCTATCTGATCAGTGTTCACCCACGGTCACCTAGAGGACCTAGAAACAGCACAGTGGTCACACTTCAGGTTAGACGTGCATGATGCAAAGCGGAGCAAGGCTAGAGCCTTGGGAATATTCGGGTCTGAGGAGCTGCAGCTGGAACCTTGGGTAGGAAGGCGCTGACTTCTCCTCCAGTAGAATAGGGTACCGGGTACAAGAAGGAACAGAAGGCTGGGAGCCTGGCTTGTCGTAAGACGGGAACTCCATGGCAGGGCGGCGCTCAGGAAGCGCATGGGATAAATTTCTCTCGGGACAATTTGTCTATGCTAACTTTTGAGCTAGAAAACTCAACAGGAAAGAAACTTCTGATAGCAAAAGGGGTAGAAACGGGAAGGGCACTGAGAGGCCAGTGGCTGTGACGGGCTTCACGGCCTTGTTGGCAGTACTGGAGGGTGTATTTTTGGCCCGAGGTTCTCTTGAGCAGAGAGAAATCAGGAAAGGGAAGCTGAGCATACAGTCCTGCCTAGATGGGGGCTTATTGCACTGTTTGTAAGTGAAAATCTGTCAAGACTTGTCAACAACCTCAAAAGTGCTTGCGTTAGTGCATAGATGTCCTGATTCCAGAGTGAGGCTCTGCCCTTCTCTAAAGCCAAGTGCCATTAGGAGCAGAGACTTGGAATGTTCCAGAAATCCCTTTAGCAGGAGAGAGGCAGTTTTTCCTACACCCAGCCAACATGCAAACACACTAAATCGCAAGACATACTCCTTGTATTACGAACGCAACCCTAAGGGAGGGACCCACAGGGCCACTCTGCATCCCTTTCTTATGGCTTATTAAGTGGACTTCGGAGCTGATCAGCATGCTGCCCTGAACTCATTTCCTCCTATCTTTTTAGTTCTTGAAAATAAAGTATATTTAAATAAAGTATATTTAAACCCATTTAAAGTACTAAGTATCAATATTCTTTTCTAAGGGCTCAGAATTTATTTTTGCCTCTAACATTGGCCTGTCATCTTTGAATCAATGTCTAAGAAGATATTAATATTGCATGTGTAAAATGATAAGCCAGTGGTTGATACCCAATGAACTCATTTGCAGAATCGATGAGTAATGTCTAGAAAATTCTGATAGTGCCTGACACTCAGTAGGCTCATAATGAGACTTCTCTGCTATTACTGCTCTTGATTTATTTAAAGCTGGCCAAAACTGCCCTGGGCATTACATTGTGGACTGTAGTATAAGCCAGGGACTGAGAAGGTATGCTTACTGTGAAAAGCCTAAGGCAAGGTGAACTGCTAGGAAGACTGCTCCCTGTCTGGTGGGTGGGCTGACTGTTCACACCTCTGACAAGGTTCCTAACAAACTCACTCTTCAGTTCTCACAAATGGGCTGGGGTGCAGCTCAGTGGTAAAGTGAGTGCTTAATATGCACAAGGCTCAGAGTTCAATCCCTAGCACCAAAGGGCAAAAGGGGACTTTTATTAGAAATACACTATGCTTGTCTATATGGAAAGGGGGAACTGGGCTAGTCATTTGCTTTGACAGAAAGAAGGAAAGCTCAAGAATGCACGAAAGAAATTCTCTTGCTAATATCCATTTCTTTTGGTCTTATAAAGAAATACATGGCATATTTTTATTGATTTTGTTTCAGAATTGTTCAATTGTTCTCCCTTCTTGAAGTGCTCCTTTGGAGGAAGCAAGCCCTCCTATTGACACTGAAAATGAGCCATAAGTGTTGCTGCTTTCCTTTTGAGGGATTTTTTAAAACTTTACTTTGATTTCCATTAAGTTTTATCAATGGGAATGCATGAACTTTCGACATCCACGGGGATGTGATCAAATGGAAACATATGTCCTTACTTGTCCACTAGCACATACCATGTACTGGTGGGCACACACTCACGAATCACTTAGGCTTTCTAGAAAGGGTGACTGTCAAATAGCCTTTTGTTCCCTTTATTTTCCTGAAACCAAATAGACATTTGTGTTTCAAGAGGGATGGGTAAGAAGCAGCCACTGGAATGCCCAGACTGTGTACTGATCAACTAACTATCATTATTGAAGAAGCAGGAGGGTGACTGGGAAAGAAATCAGGGGGCACAGGGCCTGCCCACATCTGTACACACATGTAGGCCAAAGAGGTGCACATGCCCACTTTGTGTTGACAGTCTCTCAAGAATGAACCACAGAGCAAGGATAGCAATCATCGCCACATTTGTGCAGATTTTCAGTCAGTGGGCACAGCCCATAATGTATGAGCAAGAGACCTACCAAACCTTTGAAAAACACAGGAACTTGCCTAGCATAATTGACAGTGTTAGTATGAACTTAGAATCGTTCTGCCCCTCCCCACCTCTTAAAATTAGGAGCAGCTTACACACTTGCATTTGAGTAAAGGAATTCTCTTCTGCAGTCTCAGGACCCAAGGTATCAGCAGATGTTGAGCTGGGATGTGGTGGACAGTTGTCAGAAGCACAGGTGAAGAGCATTTCAAACTGACTCGATCAGGATCTCCAACTATCACGCCCCAAGCCTGCCTTCTCTTACGGCATCTGTACCCAGAGGAAGGGAAACAATCTAGCCTTCCTGGCCCTCTGTTTCCTCCTCTGTAAACAAAGGGATAAGGCTTTATCTGACTGTTTCCAGTTCTGGAAGGAGAGAGGTCAAAGTCATTTGACATTGTCAAGGGATTGCTTTTCTGTTTAGTAAGATGCTTGGTTTTGAGATTGCTTTCTCTTCTTTTATAATTTTCTATAGTCTTTCCTGCTTTTGACTTCCTCCTCCTACATTGCCATTGCTTTCTCCCTACATCCACACAGTAAAATGTATTCCCCCAAAGACGTCATGGTAGGACAACTGTGTTCCCTGCAGGTTCCCATTGTCAGGATGTCTTTTGACTTCTGTATTTTATGTTTCTTATAAGCCTGTCAATAATTTATTTTGTTTGTCAACATGCAGTAGAAATGATACTGATAGAGGTTTCCTTTTTTAAAGCTAGATATTAGCAACATCCATTTCAGTTCTCCCTGAGACGTCTTGCTTCAGCCAACTTTCAGTGTGGCTATTTTAACTGCTTCATATGACTGTTAATCATGCGCCTAAAGGAAACAAATAAACCTCAGATGGAATTCAGCTCAGCAAATGTTTATTCACTATCTCCCATGGGCCTGGTTCTGGTGCTAGGTGTACGGACAGTACAAAGATGAGTATGTCAGATCCTGTGACAGAGGAGGCCAGGGAGGCCAGGTGAGGATCGGCTTCTGTGTAAGTTTACTTACATATCATAAGAAGAGTCAGAGTGCTTGGCAGACTGAAACAAGGGGGAGATGGTGGGTGTGTCCACAGGTGGCTTGTTTGGGGAAGCATTTGGGGTCTGTAGGGGCAAAGTCTTTTCAGGTCCTGGAGTGCTTGTGTGCGTGGAATTCAAGCCTTCCTCTGTTGGCAGTGGGGTGCCGTGGAAGGTTTTCCTTGATTCCATTGCTACTTTGGAAAGGTGACTCTGACAGGAGTGTGTGGCAGTCAGTGGGCCAGGGTGGGGAAGGGCTGGAAGACCCTTCTCCATGTGCTGCTCCTGGTTGTACCACTCCTTGCCAATCCCCACTCGATGTGGTTGCAGCAGCTCACAGCTATAAAAATGTGTTGACCCAAGAGGTTTAATATTAACCAAAGTTATAGTCAAAGTCAATTCAGAGGATTCAAGAAAAAAAATCTGATGCTAATAGAGAAATAGAAGTCAATATTTGTAATGTGAGTCACAGGCTTGAAATAGAAAAGTAAAACACATCACCGCTGCAGTTCCCAGAGGGCCGTGGGTTGCACAGTCAGAAGATCTGCAAATGGGCTTGACCACCCTCTAGGTCTATTTTAAAATTTCCTCTGACCCCTTCCTCTAATTGCCAAATTCCAGCTCAGCTCACCAGATAGCCAGCGCTGGTGAGCTGGCTAGCTTTGAGTGGGTCAATGGAATGAAAGATTTTTTTTTTTTTTTTTTTTTTTTTTTTTTTTTTTTTTTTTTTTTTTTTTTGCTCAGCTCTGAGTAACCTTTCTCTCTAGTGACGTGACATGGAATTAACTTATCACGATTTTATTTTGTGATCCACACTTTACTCTGTAGTGGCTGTCGTTGGTTAAGACCTAATCTTTGACTTACTGATGGACCAGAGAAGGAAGGAGAGGAGGGGGAAGCAGGGGTCTCCAAAATGATCAAGGTTTTACTAAGGAGTTACTATGTTAATACTGAAGAGGGGAAAGTTGCCCTCTGAGGGGCTCTGACAGCTTGAGGAGCTTCTAGAACTTTTGTTTGATAAGACTGTGTTCCTGGGTTTTAATGTCGTGGGTTTGTCCTGGCTCTGATGTCAATCCTTGGCTGAGGCTTGAGTGAATTTTGCTGACAGAATCTAAAAAACAAAAAAAGAGGAAATTAATGAAGGAAGGGAAAACAGGAAAGACTACCAGGATTCGACCCTGTGAACACAGCGCTTTGCTAAGTATGGGTTGGAACTCCTTTAAGAGAGGTGAAAAGTAGCTGTTCTTCATCCAGCATATCGAAATGCCACAGGATCAGATAGCATCTTATCACAAGAGAACAACAATTGAAATTCAAGTGCTGAGACAGGCTTGATAAAGGCTCAGGTCCACAACCCAGTTATCCCTTCACTGACTCCTCTGAGGCCCTGAGCAATGTGAGATACTTAGTTGTCTCTTGACCCGGTTTTTGCTTGTTTGTTTGTTTGGGTATCCAGGAAGCCTGGTTTATAAAGCTCAACCAAGGCAATGTCTTCTTCAAAGCCAAATTTATGTTACCTGGTGATGAGACTAAAGATGGCCAGACAAGGGGAACGAACAGTGATAGTTGGAGCAGAATAGGAGTGGTTGCAGATAATGAACCAAGGTAGGCAAGCGGCTGGAGAGCTCTGACTTGAACTTGGTCATATTTCCTCCTTTTTTTATCCAGTGGCTTATCCTAAGTCACCGATCCCTGACCTGGCCCTGCTTCCTCATCAGCGTGATGGAATGGTCATAACCACATCTCCCTCCCAGTGTGTTTAGAGAAGTAATTAATACTTGCCAGGTGCTTTGAGATTACTGATAAGACATTCTACCTGCCCAGGGTGTCATTACATTATTTTATTTTCTTCTTCATAGTCAAGATCTAGTCTGTGATAATTTAGAAATAAGACAAATTAACAAAATGTAAAGTATGAAGTGCAACTTAACAACTGAATTCTGTTGAACTAAACATTGCACTTGAATCATATGTACAAGTAGTGGGAAACCAAAGCTGCCTTCAGACTCAACAGTCAGGCTATGCTTCACAACTCTACTTAAACCTCTTTATAAATCGTAAGTTATTGAAGACAAGTTCTGTCTTCCATCATTCATCAAAAATGACCTCAGTAACAGCTTCAGATAATGCTGAAGCTACACACGACACTGTGCAGATTTGCTCTGTTTCTGTAGACTACCGTGTGTCTTTAGACAGTAGACAGGATGTACAGCAACCAGCAATTTCAGTTTATTATGCTCATGTGAAAATTGGATTGTCACCAAAACGCTCCAGGATAGTATCCACCTCTTACAAAACTCACAACTATGATGCATGTGAGGTGTAGATTAAGAGGGATTTTATTTCCCCCCAAGGAAGAGGCACTGACCTGAATGCTTGCATGGTTATTACAGAATACTTCCATCATATCTTTCGAAAGAAAGGTGGAGATGACCAAAGGGCAAAAGGTCACCTATGTAATAAGAGCCACGTGAGATGTTAATTAAAATGGAATGTGTAAGGAAGGTACATATGTCTTGATCACATAATTCCCAGTTAGGTCACTCTAAATTGGTCTTCATCTTCTAAGATTTCCCAAAGTCCCTTCATTTAATTTAGAATTCTGCCAAAAAGCTTATAGCTAGAACTTAGAGGATGGGCAAATATCTTGAAATGACTATAAAATGCTTTTTGCTTGTGCATTTTTCAGGTGAAACACTTGACCCCTTTTTCATTTTCTTTGTGATGTAGCCTGTGACTCTTAGGAACTACTATGGCGTGGTAACTAGCAAAGCAGAATCATGCATATTTGAGCATAAATGTAAGCAAAATTTACAAGGAGTGCAGATTTATCTCTACGTGAAGATCAGACACATGATTTTTCAGATAATATTTCATCGTGTTTTGCTTGATGCCATCCCACGTCTTTTATTGTCTTACAATCCTCACCCAATCACAACTCCTCAACCAAAGTCTGAAGGTGCACACAAGTATCTAACCTTGTACCCACTGTACATAAAAACCATCTTAAGGGTGTGACACTCATAGCCTTATTCAAAGGAGAACAAAGATCGTCTCCTGGAATTCAGCCTAAGGTGGGGGTAGGCAGGGTCAAAGGGTCAGCGTCAAGGTGGGGCTGAACCCACACATGCGTTTCTATTCTCCACCATCTGCAACAGGTGGCATAGCCATTTTAACCAAGAATTTAGAGAAAGGACGGGCAGTTTAAGCTAAGACACAGATTCTGGAGCAGGAAAGGGACATAAAAAGCAATTAAAAGGGCACTTAGACTTTGAGTTAGGAAACCTTGCAACAGGCACAATAGCTCAGGACCCAACAAATATCTTCAGGGCAACCCAGAATGTACATCTAGGCTGGACAAAGGGGCGTGACAGTTAAGACATATTAAGTGCCTGGTCTGATGAGGACAAAAAATGAGATGGGGCCTTGCAAAATTTGGAGATAACCTTGTGCATAGGCTTGGTCTGGGATATATTGCTTACAGAGAGACCAACTGCATCTCCTTCACACTCGCACAAATATGCTGCTTCTCCTATGAAGGGAGAGTCCACTTCTTGATCTCTTGAATATGGGATGACATTGAACCTTGTTCTGATCAGTTGAATATTGCAGAAGGAATGTTCTGGGATTTCCAAACAACACTTGTAGAGAAATCTTGTAACATGATTTAAATATAATTTTTTTTCTAGTTCTCTGAGAATTTCATATATGCATTTTCATAATTTGGGGGGGGGTCTTTTTAAGACAGGGTTTCCCTGTAGCCCCAGCTGTCCTGGATTCACCATGGAGACCAGGCTGGCCTCGAACTCACAGAGATCTGCCTGCCTCTGCCTTCTGAGTGCTGGGATTAAAGGCGTACACCACCACTCCTGGCCATTTTTGTATTTTTATCACACTCCTACCCACACTTCCCTCTGTCTTCCTGATCTACCCCCTACCTCCTCCCAACTTCATGTCCTTTCGTAGCTCTTTTTAACCCTTGCTCCTGCTCTAAGTCGATACATAAAAGAAGCCCGGGCTATCTTGGTAAAGAGAGAAACCATGTGGAGAGAGCTCTCTGAAAGATGGGCTACCATAGAGAGGCTCTAAGGAAGAGCACCTAGTTTTCCCTGAGACAACTAGCAGCAGGGCCAGGTCATGATGGATCCTCAGCCCAGCCCTGGCCAGCCCAGCCAGCAGCTGAGTGCAGCTC